TCCAGTCCCAGATACCACATCAAATGGCACCCCTGCTGCTGCTAGACTTTCTGCACTCATCCCACCGCTCACCATTGCCTATTCAATAGGACACTGTCCCCATCCTCTGAAAATGGTGTGGCACGGGGTGCTGAGACTGCCAGATCTCTGCCATGCATGAGGGCTGCTTTACTTACTGCGTAAGAGCCATTACTCCCAGTTCTCACCTCTCACACATGTGCCAGGTGTGAAAACCAGTTCAGACATTAAAACCCACTGCTCAGCTCTAGCAGCGTGGAAAAATAAAATCACTGGCCAATCAGCCAAACAAGCAGGTGGGAGTGGTATGGACAGGGGCAGGAGAGACAAGGTACTAAACCTGCCCAGTGCTCCCAAGCGCCTCGTTATACTGATTTATGTTTAGCTAATTGAGAAAATGACTCTAACTACACAATCCAGGCCCTAATTCAGAAAGGCCCAAGCTTTTTAGTGTCTCTACCTGTGTCTTAAAAGGCATGATTTAAACCCTGTAACTAACATGCTGCCAAAGGGAAGGATTTGAAGGATCTGATGTCCTATCATGCCGAGGGGGTGAGGCTTGGCTAACTTCTCTCCTTACTTGGTCTTTCCCCACTGACGTACAAGTTTGCTGCTGGGACATAAATCAGGGGAAATGATGAAGGAAACCAGTCTCGTGCCCCATCAAAGGAGCCAACACTCGCTTTATTGGGACCATGCAGACAAGCCTAAATAGGGCACTTAACAAGCATGTGGTTTCTATTATACCAGCCCACATCTCTACACCCTGTTTGCATTGCCATTGGCAAAATCCTTTGTCCCTTGCGCACACCTGCTTACATCCACAGAATTAGAAAAGGGATCAAGATATAATACTAAAGTATTAAACATACCGTTTCTGGGTTGGATCAGGCCTGCAGAAAAATTTTATCTAGCTCTCAGCTAGAACCCTTACCCACAGCTATGGCATGCACAAGAGTGGAGCATAGAGACCCAGGACATGATGTCTACGCAGAATCACACAAAAGTACCAAACTCAGTCCAGGACCCACAGATGCTCAAAGATCCCACATGAGGGGCATCTGGTATAGTACCAGGCCTCGGGCTGGGACAACCCATATCACAGGGGTTTTGGTCCAAGTTTGAGCCTTGACAAAAGGGTGTTAGTAACAGAAAGTCTATAGATCCTACTGTCCTAAGCAGAAAATGCAGAACAGAGGGAATCCCAGCATGGGAGGCAATTCGATAGTGCTCTGCCCCTTTCTTTGGCTCCAGAATGTCCCTAGAATAGAATAACTTTCCATATGCAATCCTTTCTAGCATGTTCTTAATAAAGCTGGTCAGGAAACACAGTAACCCCAACCACTAGGCCAGTCACTACTTTTCACTCTTACTATTTCCTCATTCTGTTTAGATGGGATACAGGCTCAAAGGGAAGACTCCTCTGTATCGCAGAAGGTATTAGGAAGAAGAATGGCTGATAGAGAACTTGAGTCTCTCCCCAGACAGCTAACCCTAAGCTGAAACATCTTGAGAGCCCAACTTCAGCTGGCTGTGTATACAATCAGATTGGGGATTGTCCAAGTGTTTTACACCACGCACTAGACATCCATGGGAACCCTAGGCTGAGCCATGACCATCTGTGCTCATTTAAACATTTCTTGACAGAGGAGGGAGTGTTAATCCCGACATCCTGGCCAAACTGCAACACGGGCAATTATATTGTGCTTTGTAACATTCTCACAGTGGTATATATTGGTGTTTTCCACTCCCATAACGGTAATGCAGTGGCCCAAAACAGAAACGGCTACATTGCCACAGGAGAACGCAAGTCCCCTGTGATGAGCCCTGCAGTGTTACTGTCAGGTATCATGCGTTGCTCTATTTTCCCTGCCACAGGTGTTCAACCCCAGCATGCTTCACATTCAGACTTCTACCTCTACCTGCAAGAGGTCTTCACTTAAAAATCTGCCCACCCAACCCACTCCTGACTTATGCTGCACTTTCAGTTTTTCCATTTTTCTGAAGATACAACACGTCGAGTGGACAGTACATCTGCCTTCAATGCACTCCAGTGACAGCAGAGCCCAACAGTATAAGATGCATCAACTACTACAAAGGTAGAAACGGCTTTTGAAGAGCCTCAATTCCAACTGTTCTCTTTCCTTAAAGGAAAAACAAGGAAAAAAAAAACCAAACCCAAACCCCAACCCTTTTGTTGCACCAAAATCATCTCCTGGCATTTCTGACCAGCCCACATGTTGTTACAATTATGACTGGACTGCTTGGCTCCGGCATAGGGGGAATGTTAAACCAGCACACTGGCACCCATCAAAACATTTGCGAACTTCCAAAGTGGAACTGACACCATGGTAGTGGTTTATATCACACGTCAGAGAAAGGCTTCATAACTCAGATCAAATAATTTAACTCTTGAGCTCCCTTCCTAGAGAGAGTGATCAAATGCTAGGCTGCCTATTGTTATTTCATACGGCTGTTTCATGTGGCTTCCAGCCAGTTCACTTCATTTTGCAAGCTCAGAAGTTAAAGACAGAACTGGCCAGAACTTTGATGAGGGACTTGTAAGAGAACAGAAACTGCTGACTCTAACAGCAGCATCTTCCCTGTCAGGCAGAAACAGCACCAGCACTATCCGGATGGCACATGAGAATTTTTCAGCTTTTAAGTAATTTTTTTTTTTTATATAAACTGACTCCATTCTAGGAAATGCATATTCTTAAGTAGTTTTCAAAAAGATCTTTCAACTCAGAACTTTTTGCCTTTTTTTGAGGAATTCAAACAATAATTTTATCCATAACAACAAGGTGCAATCAGTAGGACTATTTCAACCACATTTTAGCCTACCAGAGAACCACAAATTATATGCAAAATGGTATGCATGTGCTTCCTGTAAATACCATTACAATTCAACTCTTCTGTCAGATGCTCTTCTGTATGTCCCCTGATGAGCTGAATACAAGTGTAATGAGGAACAGACCTATCCACTAGGACTTAGATTCTCTTGAGGAGCAACTGGGGACAGCTGCAGAGGATGGAAACAAGAATGGTACAATTAAATTATTATTGCACTTACTGGTATCCAGTTTTGAAAACCATAATCAGGTTGCTACAAGCTGTTCTGCAACTGCAGACAAGAGCAAAGGAAGTCAGATGCAATTTTCTCACAATATAATCAAATCTTCCGCTTTTAGGCCAAGTCTTCCAGCAAAATAACAGGGAACGCAGTGTATCAGCAACAACAGAGCAATGCTTCATACACAGCCCAAATGTTGCCTTGGAGTTTTCTAACTTCAGTTGGCCCTGATTATGAGTGGCTTCTTTAGAGATTTATCTTTCTCCTGCGTATGGGAGGCACCAGTTGAGATTTTTCATTGCTGCCTTGGGCCACGGTTAGTTGAAAATATCCCTGCGAAGCTGAATCCTGCCATGTCTTTGCTTCATATGTTTTCTTATTTTGGAACAGCCTTTTTGGAAGTTTTACTTTCATATAGCTGAAAGTTGCCAAAGGACATATCTGATTGTGTCATTTATCACGTCCTGTGGAAAAACAGTCTTGGATACATGTATTAGTATCAGATATCACAACTGAAAGTAAACACACTGTGTAGAAGATGCACTGATTTATTAATAGAATAAAAATGAAATGTAGTGACATGTTTTTCCACTATTAAAGCCATAGAGACAATCAGTGTCCCATTTATATACTTGATGGCGTCATTCAGAAACTCATTCATAAACTCTGACACGTTTGGGTCAGGTATTAGAGAAACCATTTCCACAATGAAAGCAGTCTTCCTCTGTAACAAAGCAGATGGATAGCTGTGGACAGTCCCCACGGTTTGCAGCTGCATCAGTCTACGGGAGGTTTTTCTATGTCCTCTAGTTTAATTCCTGAGACTTTCTCCACCTGGAATAGCTTTTTAAAGCCTTTCAACAGCAACAGAGCAAACCAGCTGAACTTCCTGGGGGGTATGAACCCACTATTCAGGCAAGAAAATGCATTGAATATTATACGAAAATGGGCTCACATCCAATATACTGTGGGGATTATTCATTACAAGATCCCTGGTTAATTATTGGAACTTTGAGGCAACTATGACAGAGAAAAATGTTTGTAATGGAACAGCTTATTGCCACACACTCTCTTTTGTGTGTTTCCATTTCTACATCATACATTCTGCAATGTCGTAAACTGTAACGCATCATCTTTGTTAAATCATAGCTGCTGTGATTTCATAGATAATAATGTTATCAATATATAGCTTAGTGTGATCTAGGATTATCTGAAAGAAATAGGCAAAGTGATAAATAGGAAATATTACAACTGACTTTGCAATTTGCCTCAATATGTGAATTTCCTTTAAATCAGGTACAGGAAAGAGTACCAGCTACGAAGGCAATTAAGTAAGTACTTGGGTTTCACAGGATTAAAAACCGTTGAAAACTAATCCCTTACGGATACAAAGGAAGACAAACATCCTATCGCAGTTGTCAGGAGACAGAACGTGTTCAGATGCAAAGTTGTGATCTTCTCTCCTGTAAATACGTACCTCTTGCACACTGCTATGAACAGGTATCAGTGATACTGACACGCTGAAAGCCTTTGGAAAAACCATACTGTTCGCTTCCAAGTTTCCTGTTTCAGGAAGGTACAAAGCCCTGTGAAGAGCTGGACATCAGAACATGAACTTAAACCAGAATGATGATGACAGATGGTGAAACCCAAATGGCAGTCTTGTGGAAAAAAAAAAAAAAAAGCCTTTAAAACTAGAGAACAATACTAAAGGAAAAGAGAAATGAAGTGCCTATTACTGGCACTGCAGAAGCCAAGAGATAACATACAGCACACAAGCCTGCAGAAAGTATATGATCCATAACCAGCTGGCTTATATGAATATAGTAGTCATGTAGCAGAAGAAGCTGGGGAGTTTCCTGGAGTTGCATTTACCACCTGAGTTTGGCTGTCCATATTGGAGAGGGATTTGGTACTGGAGTTTTGAGACTGAACCAACTGTTCAGAAGTAGCAGAAGCAATAGCACAGCTAGCGTGCTCACTCTCCCGTGCCGTAACACTGGGAGTGGGGTTTTCCTTAGCTGTCCCAGCATGACTGTGTGACTGGTTGGCTTGTCTCCCCGCTTCTGCCTCCTGCTGCTGCAGCATCCGCTCCACCTCTATCTCAAGTTCCAGATTTTCCTCATCTGCCTCCACTTCCAGCTGCTGCATTAACTCCTCCAGCTTCCTGGCCTTGCGGAGTTCATTCTGCTGTATGATGGTGCACAGGTGCTCCGTGAGGTGCTCCTTAATCTCCGTCTTGTGTTGGAGGTCCAGCTTGGCTGCCACGTACTCCGACTCAGCCTTATCGTACCGCTTCCTGCAAAACCATCATCATCATCATTTCTAGTGGGTTAATTCTCAAAGCACTTCACAGTCTGACACATGGACAGATACTTTAAGCATTCCTGAAATGTGTTCTGCAATGCATTACGCCAGCTATTCACGACATGCTGCTACATTACTAAAAGGGAAGAAAATAAGTGTGAATTGATCAAATCTTCTCCTCTTGACACATTAGCCTCCACTGCTGCTGTATTCCAAGAGTTAATTTGCTCATCTGAAATCTACAGACTGAATCACGAACAAGCATTTTTGCTACCTGTTTTAAGAGAGGCGTCACTAGCAGCAGAAAGAAACCACCAGAAATTGAAGTGTTTTTACACTTCTAATGAACACCTATCCAGTGAACTGAAACACTGCAAAACAGTTTTGTGCTTTGTCTAATCCAACCATCCACCCAACAGATACAGGTGCTACAATGGTGCTATTCACATTCACATTCAGATCTGGTCTACAAGCATACTCTTCCAGCCACCCATATATATGGTTAAGAAAATCATGAGCAGCACAGATTGACACAGCATATGATGTCAACAGCAATTACAACTTTTGCGTGGCAACAGATACAGAATTTTATTGTAAGCATCCCCCCAACACACACATCCTGCCAATCTGTGCTTCGCGTCGTGACAAATATAGCAAAAAGGGAATATTCCAAACATTTTTTTGAGGTTCACGCATCTGGGATATTTAGCACTTTAATGGTTGGTGTCCACATTAGTGATGCATCTTCCACTATATTCAGTGCAACTGAGTATTAATCCTGATTTAATTAACAGAAAGATAGATGCAGTCTTGCTGATCAGGAAAGGGAACATGCAAAGGATTTTGCAGAATGACCATGCAATGTACCTTAGAGAGCATTCATAAAACTAATATTAGTAAGGTGGCTGAATAAAGAATCCAGCTGTTTTATAAAACCGGACTCAAATATCTGCTTAAACAAAGCAACAGAAAGATAGGAGAAATCCTTTGCTTAGGGAAACAGAAGGAAGCAAGACACAGAAAAGTCTTCCCAAATATGTTCCTTTACATAATAATCGCAAAACTTTGACCCCGCTGTAAAGGCTATGTCTGCAGTGGGCAGAAGATGCCCGCTTAATGTTTCCCTCACAAGAAAGACAAGATTTCCCTGGGCCAGGTATCTGAAATGGAAATACTAATGCTATGCTGGAAACTTCTGCACAATTAAATCTTTGGGCTGAATTCACATATATTCTTCACATTTTACTTATGAAAATTCAAATCCACAGCAACTGTCAAATGCCCCTAACTATGTATGTGCTCAGGACTATTTAATATTACACGTTTTGACACAGAAATTATTTGTCGTTTAGCCCTAAAATATAAGGTAAGAACTAAAAAATTGCTTAAAAAGACACCACTTAAATCAGCTCTGGCTCATAATGCATAAAAACTACAACACTGAAAGTATCTAACTCACATTTCCAAATCCCTCCCTCACAAAAAAAAAGACTCAGTTCATGAAAATCATTAAGTATTTTGTAAAGTTTATCGCCTTCATCCTACCAGCATCCCCTTTTGTTATCTTCATTAAAAAATGCTTTCCAAACATTAAAGCCACATGTGTTACATGCTCTTTTGCCATTAAGCATTTCAAATAGACACGTTATTACAAACTTTTGTTAAGGAAATTTCCCAGAGCATTTAATGGTTTTAGAAACCAGACTTAAATCTAAAATACATTAAAATATTTTTCCTTTTGAGAATATGAAATTCAGTATTCATATGCACTTGGCTACTGAAACTACAGTTAAGTGTAGATATTTCAAATGATAATTAAACAAAAGAAATCCTTATTTTTAGCTACCACTGCTGTTTTTTTAAAGACTAATTACCATGTTTATTGGCCTGTGGTCAACGTATAGCAGAAGTCATAAGGAGAAATACACGTTTAACACATTGAATCGTGAACCAAAAACCACAACCGAACATTTCCATTTTATTAAATGGCTACATAAACATGCTGATGTTTATCTACTGATGTTGTGGTTTACCCACAACTAATAGGGTGTTCCGATTAATTTCTTGCATTTAAGGAACTCATCAGAAACAGAGTGATTAAAGGCACATTGTGAAGGGTGAAAGCTTGCTTTTTCCTCCAATTTTTGGTCCCAGTTCCAAAAGCACTTCAGCAGTATTATATGTTTTAAGCTTAATTGGTCCCATTGATTCCAACAGGACCAGAGCTGTCATCAACAAGCAAGTTTCCCTGAAAAGGACTTTCATTTTAGGACTTTTAAAAAAACTATTTCCCCCTGAGAAGAAATAAACAACCTTGAAACAATAAAGCAGGGCTTATGGACAACTGCACAGTTAAAGCAGTAAGTATGTCTCGTGACAGCACGAAGCTGGAAAGCACAGTCTGCAGTCTGAAAACCAACTTGAGTTTCCAGATTCCAAGGGAAAAATTAGGAAATAAAAAGCACACTTTTACCTCAAGATTTAAAAGCTCCCCAGACTGTGACCGCTGTAACTACACATTATTACAATGACATAACTCCATTACTGCTTTGGTGACAGGAAACAGCATTTTCTCCCTCCACTCAGGCAGGGCTATTCCCTCCTCCCTGTCTGTCACTTACCGGGCATAGGAGTAGTCCAAGCTGGCCTGATCAATGCGGTTCCGCAGGATGCCAATGTCAGCAGATACCATGTCATCCAGAGCTTGTAACTCCTTCTGAATCCTTTTTAGTTTCACTGTTTCAGCTTGAGTTCTTTTGGATCTGCAAAAGGAAGATGCTTTTTGTTTTTTCTTTTCAAGACTCTCTTCTTGACAAAATGGGCCCCATTTCATTTGCAGAGCAACTAACTTCTTTAAGAGCTATTCGGAAGGTTTCTCCTTTATGGTTTAAGACTTTTGATCTTTTTTAATATCCACAGGGATCTAAAATGCCTGCTATTAAAGGACTATGGCAAAATTACGTAATGACTATAATCAAAGTGCCTAAAATGGATTGTGTTTCTTCACTGTGGAAACACACAAGAAGCTGCTGTATCTAAGTAGTTCTCAGTGTAAGGAAACAGGAAATGGCTTGGGGGGGGAGTGAGAGGGGGAAGGGTATTTAGCCCTGCAAATATCCCCTTTCAAAGAAGCCCAGTTAGTAGGGGCCAAAAAGTCACCTAACCTAGGCTTGATTTCCATTTTGTAAAATTATTCCCAAAAGGCCTAGCCAAATCCCAATGAAGTCAATGGAAAGTTTTACATCAAACACAAAGGATTTCAATCAAGCCTTATGCAAGCTTTTTCAACTCAGCCTATTCATTCCTAAGTTCTGAAAACTAAATGTTGCTAAGGGCAGCAAGCTCTGATGGATTTCACTCCCAAGTAAGCTAAGTAACTTTCAACAAGCTTTTACACCAGGTCACTTCGCTGTCATTCATCACCACCAGCAAAACCATACTTTTCAGCCACCGCTTTACACCCCAGAGCAGGTACTTGAAAGCAAGCCTAGATTTGTAGGAAGTGACACTGTTTCTCAACAGATCAGCTGATGCAGGTGGAGAGAAACAGACATCCTGTAGCATTGCTCAGAGCCTGAAGAAGGCCGCTGGATGTCAGACATAACTCCCTCGCTATCAACTTCCAAGTCATCCTCTCTCTCCTCACACTCTGCTTCCAGGAGGAAGAAACCAGCCTGGTGGTCACACCCATGTTTGCTGTCCTACAGTGACTCACACCAAACGTACTTGTGCTTTATTTCTGCCTGGCAAAGGAAACCAAAATCTTCAGGACCTCAAAGAGAATCTTCTGCACAGTACTGGCTACATTCATCTGTGCTACCCAAGAGCTTTGATGGGCAGAACATACATAATACATGTTTGCGAGAGCACCATGAACCTGAAAGCTTCTCATCTCCTTCCTTGATCCAGTGTTAGCAGCTGCTCCAATATCCTTCCCTACAAACCTTGCCTTCCCTGTAGTCTTGAACCATCTCAGTGGACAACACTGTACAATACCTTAAAGTCTGGTCACTTGAAGAGCAAGAGCTAACAACTGTGAAAACATGTGAATTTTTGTAATTTCTAATCAGCCAGTGGTAAAACGGTACGTTCTTAAAGTTGATCGTCTACTCTTTTCAACACTTTTCACATACTAATAAGAAAGAGTCAAAAGCATGAACAGAAATAGCTATAGTTGCCCTTCATAGGTTAGGAATCAAATAAACTTTCCTTACATCCAGTGAAAACAAGTCAGGAACAGAACAGAGATGAGCATCCGAGCACCCCAACTTCCCAACATGGCCTTACTGACAGGCATAAGGGCTTCAGCTAATTCTCAAATTGTGTAATAACTTTTCCATCTGCGCACAGAGCTGCAGCTTTGGAAGTGTGAAAAGCTTAGTCACAGCTTCTTGGCCAGCACTTGTCATCAAAGGGAAATGTAGATCACAGCTGCTCACTTGTGGAGCAGTACATACAGAGCAGAAAGAGGAGAAAAAGTGCGATTTAAATAGAAGATATGCAAGTGGTGGCAGATGAGAAGTAATCCCCTCCTCAGCCGCAGCCCATGCTGTAGCACAGCCCCTTACCTCTCAGCAATAGCTTTGGCCAGGAGTGCCTTCTTGCGTTTATTCTTCTCTTCTATCAGCCGCTGCTCTTGCTGGAGGATTTCCCATCGTGATTTTTCCTGCCTGCTCATTGACAATAAGATCAAAATTAATACAAAATTATTTTCTCTTCCTGTTCCCCAAATGACACAAATATTCACCATCGTATTTCCTCGAGCAAACTCGAAAAAAATCAAAGGAACAATAAACAGGTTTTGGTTCTGAGGAAAGAACAATCATCTGCAAAAAGTCATTCAAACCAATAAAACATTTCCAGATGAAATCTGCTGATCAGAACAAAAGTCTTCATAAGCAACTAAGCTGCCGGTTAATTCAGCTTTGCTGGAAGGGAGAAAGAACATACTGCGCTTTTCCAGAAATGGGTGGAATTTTTCATTTAAAGGATGTGCTTCCCCACTAGGTAGAAGCAGTTTCAGGTTTCCTACTGGCTGCTAGAAGTCGCTATCTGTTCTGTCTGCCAACACAGCCTCTTTTTTGGAAATGTTTTTTCCATAAAACAGATCCTTTCACACGTCTGCTTTACAGTACAGTCCCCAAATAATTAAACTCATACAAATGAAAACCTGGTAAAAGTTATAATGAAAATGAGCAATGAGGAAGAACAAGAACTCACTTTTACCACCAGGGAAAGTTATATGGATTCCATTTCCTAGACTACATCTACTAAGAGATACAACCAGCCTCAGAGAATGGAAGGCAAGGTCTCAGGTGAGAGGGAACAACCTGCATCAGCACAGCTGGGCAGGATTAAGGAGAAACAAAAGCTGCTTTTCCACTCTGTTGTATTCTTCATGCCCTCTCTCAAGAAGTCTCAGCTTAAAAATAGCTTAAGCTTAAAATACCCAAGTAACTCAGCTATGTTAATCATAATGACCATTTCTGCACAAGAATATCTCTTCAAACTTCCTCCCATCACCCTATTCCTAAAACCTCATATAGAGAAATATTTTTATGAAGATGTAAACTCAAGTGCACAGGCTGAGATGGATTCAACAGATTCAGGAGGTGGTTGTGGCAGATAAACATCATTTGCTCCCCACAGAGCGAAAAACTTCCCTGCAAAGCTTTAGCTGTTTTCTCCCCAGTCAAATAGTGTCTGTATTATTTCAACACCACAGAGGAGCTGAACAGCTAGTACTGCTGGTGAGCTGCACTCACACGAGGAATTTGGTAGTGTTCTTCAACGTGCTACTCTTCTGGTGGAGGGACAGCTATCTCAGGCAGGTGCTCCCAGCCAGGAGCTGGGCAGGTAAAGGGCAGGCAGCATGGCCAGCAGCTGCAGCCTCTCAAGGCACAGCTGTGAAAAACAGAACCTCCTGGATCCTTTTTGAGTTTTGAATTTGGCGCTGTTTCGCCACACAAATGCTGCTGACCGCCACAGTTCTGCCTCTCCAGTGGGAAGCACCTTTGGACCTCTTAAGTCCCCTCTCAGATCCTACGGACATATCTAACCAGAGATAGGGTCTAGCACACCACACTTGGAAAGCTGCTGATCCCTGTTTGAGGGGAATACAAACAACGCATGGAAGTTTAGTGGCCAGCTAGTGTTTGTTGATTATAGTGGGAAGAACAGTTTGGACCTGCATAGGAACTCAAGGCTGGAGCAGCATTGTTAAAGTGTTTTAAAAATAAACTATATGCCCTAGAAAAAGAATTCATCCTTTTGCCCCTCACACTTTGTTTTGCCTGCTGAGGAAAAAAAAGAAAATTAGCACTTGGATGCAGACAGGAAAACAAATGTGACGAGGTAAACCCAAGTAATTTCTCGTATTGGAAACGCTGCCCTCTCTAGCATTTAGACAGCAGCTTCCTTTTATACACTACTATCTGAATTCTGGATGATGAACTAAGTAATTGCCACATTCAATCAGACTCCCAGAGAGCCACGTTCAATATTTTTTTCCTTCCTCTCACATGTATCAGTTTGATGGTTCTGAGGGAGACAGGCACCCTACTATGGGCTGATGCACAGGGTAAAAGCCTCGCGATTGGTCTCATCCTGAATCATAAAAGCTAGAGAACTGCTTAACCCTGAAATGTTACCTCCTTACCAACACTTCTGGCATTAACAAATCTGCAGCAATATTGTAAAGTTACACACAGCATGTCTTCTTCCAAAAGGGCTTTCTGTTGTGGCTGTTGGCTTGTCTGCAAAGCACGATGATGAGATTAGGTCTTCATAAACCATCAAGACAGTCCTGCGTCTTGGGTGCTTTATGATGTACAGGCCAACAGCCATAGGAAATTATCTGAAGACAGCACGGTGCATATCTGCATGGACTACACTACAGAACTTGGTCCTGAATCAGGTTTAACCCAACTAGAGATGAAAAACAAAGGTTCAATACAAAGGAAGCAAACATGATCTCTCAAACCTTCCTATCAGATAGAGAAAAGTTCACTTCACAACAAAAGAATGAATCAATACAGAATAATAAAACCCATCCCCTGATTTTACCAACTTACTAACAATTCCACTTTCTTTTTCTCCACTTTGGGGTTTGGCTTGGCAGGGCGGGTCTGGGCACTGTCACTGCCATTACAGGGCTCTACCGGTGTCACTTCCTTCTGCTGGTCTCGATGGTCACTTTGCCTTTGATCTCCTCCTGAAGGAGGATGAGGTGGTGGCACAGGCTGCTGAGGATGACAAGCCTTGTGTTTTGGTACAGAAAGCAACTGCTCAGGAGGAACAGAGGCTGCTCCACCCTGCAGTCCCAGCTTCTGACATTGCTCCTGGAGGGCCTTTTCTCGTTGTGATTGCTTCCGACTCTTATTCACAACGTGGGGGCGATGCTGCTGCTCCAAGGGTTCATACAAGTCTATCAATAGAGGAGAGAGAGAAATAGGATTAAAATAAAATCTTAAGATCAAAGAGAGACACTGTGAATTACCTTTCCTGGGCAAGGAAACTGGCGCTAAACCAACCTAAGGAAAAGACATACCAGGATGTCAAGGGAAGGCAACATGAGGGAAAACCGAGGAACATGAAATGTTTTGCTAGCCTAAGAATCAGGAGTTTTAGAAGATCTGAGCATCCAAAACAAGGAGAGGGAAGAATAATGGGCCTGGACTGCAGGACTAAAGAAGGAACCTTAGACAGGAGTAAGACAACTCTTGGGGGAAATCATGGAGACAGATGTAAGGCTAAAGAAGGGCCCCAGGCAGGCTGGTGGGCAAACTGGAAGTTTAGAAAGTGAAGAACTGGGGAAGAAGGGGATGACTGATGGACAAAAAGGAGGCTAGGAACACGAGTGGGTAGCGGATAGCCAGATGTGGGTGCAGGACAAGGGGCTGGAGTTTGGAAACGTGACAGTGAGGTTGTAGGTGTAGAGACAGAGGGGTGGTGCTTGACGCAGGGATGGACTGGATGAGCTGAAGGGATGGACAGAGATGTGGATGTAGGGGGCTGAGGGGCTGAATGAAGAGATCGACGTTGACCATGGGCGGATGAACGTGAGGGCCAAGGGGGTGGGAAGCCACGGCGGATGGCAAGGCTGAGGGGGCTGCGTAGAAAGGCCGGATGGACGGCTATGCTGAGGGGGTGGAGGTGCCGATAGGCAGGCTGAGGGGACGGACGGTCGGACGGAGGTGCAGTTGCCGGGGCGCCGAGGGCCCGAAGGCACCT